TTAGGAAAACTATTAAGGCATATTGCATTAGGAAAACTATTTAAGCATATTGCATTAGGAAAACTATTTGGGCATATTGCATTAGGAAAACTATTTGGGCATATTGCATTAGGAAAACTATTTAGGCATATTGCATTAGGAAAACTATTTAGGCATATTGTATTAGGAAAACTATTTGGGCATATTGCATTAGGAAAACTATTTAAGCATATTGCATTAGGAAAACTATTTGGGCATATTGTATTAGGAAAACTATTTAGGCATATTGCATTAGGAAAACTATTTAAGCATATTGCATTAGGAAAACTATTTGTGCATATTGTATTAGGAAAACTATTTAGGCATATTGCATTAGGAAAACTATTTAGGCATATTGTATTAGGAAAACTATTTAGGCATATTGTATTAGGAAAACTATTTAGGCATATTGCCCTCTCCTTTCCAGCAACCTTTTTTGAACGTTCGGCTGATTACTGAAATACAGCTGTTTATTGATTTTCTTGTCCCGTTATGGGAATGATGTTTTATAACCCTCGCTTTTAAATCACGACTGCCGCTAACATCGTCCATAACGCTGATATGTGTTACAACATATATACTAGGACAAAAGAAGCAGTATACATTCTACATTGTTTATAATAACACTTTTAATTAGTTAACAGGTACGATCTAAATTAGCGCTGGTTTAAAGCTAAACTTATCATCTAACTCTGTTGTCGTAGAGTACATGTTTAGACCAGACGGTCTAATGGGAACAGTTAACTATAGCCTCTGTTTCTCTGACCCCGGCATTTGATGCGATATTGAGGTCCGCTTTATTATAAACGCCTATAGGTCTTTACTTTCCCATCTGGTATGTGCTCTTCATAGCTGGGTGGACTCAAGAGCGTCATACAGACTTAAGCCCACGAACTGAACTTTATACTTGCGGTGTAGTACATGTGTGTTCAGGGACGGAGTAGCCTAGCGGTAGAGAGGTGGACTGCTATCCCGTAAGTTTCGAGTTCAAATCCAGGTTCAAGTCGGTATACCGTCCCTGGGTCCACCCAGCTGATAGGTACCTAACTCACGTTAGGGTAAGTAAAAGCGGCTGGGCATAGTGCTGACCACATTATCCCTTCATATGCCGAGGTCACAGAAACAAGTGAACTCTACTTGCCCCATAGACCGTCAGGTTTGAAAGGAATACTTACTAGTTCATGTGCGTTCGACTACAATAATGTTGATGTACTCTCTCAATTTTTCTCAGTGAACACGTTTCACTCTCCCTTGACTGCTTGATATTCGAACCTAGAGCCGAGCGAATCAGTAACTACAATTCGTGTCGACGTTTTGTCCACACTGTAATTCTGTAATCCGCCTTGTGTTCCCTTAAGAACCTAAAGTACAGTTACTGTCATCAAATTTTCAACACATCTAAGCTTTTCCTCTTGAATAGGACATTGTTTCCGAACAATATGTCAACCCATTTATCTAATGACTGTCCCGCCTGCTGGATATACACTGTTTACATAGCCAATATCAGCAAGCACTGGCTGCCTGAAAATCTGGAACCGTCTCGTTTTTGACGCTATTCTCGACCTTGTGCTCGTAATGTAATCCCGTGTTTATCATCTCGTTTTTGTGTCGCTCCAGCTTTCTCGGTGACACAAATCTCATTTTCTCTGTGGTGGTTGGTTGTGTGTTCAGCTTAGATTTACATATTTGGATTGTTACTGTGTTTGGTTTTACAGATTTGGACTGTGTTACTCTAATTGTTTTAGCTTTGGACTGAATTACTTTGTTGTTTGGTTTTACAGATTTGGACTGTTTGGCTTTAGAGCTTTGGACTGAGTTAGTGTGTTTGGTTGTACGCATTCTTACACTGACTATTGTATGATGTTATTTGTCCTTACTGTTTGATTATGCACGTTGTGTTGAATAGTGTAGTTTTCTTTGCATTATCTACGGGTATTATTTTTTAGTGCTATATACATCTTTATAGTCTTTACGCATGGATATACACTTCTAAAAAATACACAGAGATACGAAATAACTATTTATTGCTATACAATGTTGTATTCTCGTGGTAACTTATACCGATTCCTACAATTGGATACTTTTTATGTGCCCTTTGTATAAGCCCATCGAACTGTTTATTTGCTTAGTAATAATTGTAATCTAACATTATGTAGGGTGATAATAGCATAGGTTATTAAGAAATGACAGCAGAGGTCACCCTATATTTCTTTAAATAAATTCTTTAAATTCTTCTTCTTCGTTCTTCTAGTGTTGGAATGGACTCCGATTTTTTTATGTTCTTCCTTAACCTTTTTCCAACCAAGAACAAGCTACAAGGCAGTAGTTGTTTGATTTTAGAGTTGTCAATCCTAGATGAGTTGCTGTCCTCATCTAACGAGCATCACCCCCCCCCCCCCCCGGGGTGTTTGAACTCGGGACTTTTCGGTTCAGCAACTATGAGCTCAACAGATCCGACCACGCTTGACTTTCAACCTTTAAATTTTCATGTTGTAGATCTAAAGAACAAAACCGATGCTAGTTGTTTTTTTGTTTTTTTTTGCATGCTGGCATTAAATGTATCACTAAAAGTTATCGACTACACAGCTTAATGTATTAATTAGCATACTCTGTGTCCATACATTGCTACACAGATTCGTGTCGTTATATTACCATACCATTACCCATACTAGGTCGTTGGTTACCCAATCAGTACCGATAGACTGTTCCATTGACCAATACATCGATTAGGTATTTCCTGAGGTGACGTCAGTCTGTTAGTCAGGCGGGTATTGATTGCTAATGGGATTCCCTGCCAAGGCTAATGGGTTTCCCCCGTCTAGTTAATTTTACTTAGGTTTATACTGTTGTTCATTTTTTTTTATTTACGTACTGCGTTATTGTTGGTAAACTGTTGTTTTACGCTAAGAGTTTAATCAGAAGAAAATGTAAAATAAAAACCATTTTAAAATAGGTAAATGGAATCTTTATATTGATTCATCTTCTTTTTTTCTCCTGCTCATGCCCAAGACACAAGAGGCAGATGAAGTAGAGTTGATCAGTTTGAATGACCTCGGCATACATGGGGATAATGTGGTCGGCATTATGCCCAGACGCCTTATCCAGAGGCGTAATGATACTTCCCGGCGCCCGGGGACAAACTTCTCAATTCGGCGCCCCCCCCCCCCCCATATATTATTTATATTTATAATGCAAAACTGCAGTTACAAAGAGCTTTTAATTTTTTTTCTCAACCCATATGTACCTTCCCCCGCCCCCTCTCCCCTCGCTACGCCTTTGCCTTTATCTCCCTAACATGGGTCAGCTACCCATCAGAGTTGAATAGACTCGGGAACGTCTTAGAAACTCTAGCCCGGGATTCGAACTCGCGACTTTTTATATCGATTAGTCCCAAAGTAAAGCTATAACCCATAGAATAGCCTATACACGAGTTTCGACAAAATGTCTTTGTCAGAAAAAAATGCTGTTAAAAGCAAGAGAAAAATTAGATGAAATAAAATTAAACTCGCCAACTCCATCCACCTTGCGCTTGGCGCCCGATCAATACGTCATCGATCCGCGGGATTTCCGCGGCTATTTTTAGCCCGAGTCGCAGCGTGAGTGGCCGACTGGTGCGAATTTCCCAGGCTTTGTTGTCTCTGTTGAACTCGGTTCTATTTTTAGACGTTATACTCTTAGGTCAGACAAAATAGCATCACATTTCTCCGGAGAATCACATTTTTAAAATGTTGACGTGTTCATTGACTCGAATTTCTAATACTGTTGTGTAGTGACTATTCAATAAGCTCGCATTTGTGTTCAACATTTCTGATTTAATTTGTGTGTAGTGCATATAATTTCTTATTACGTTGTGTTTAGTGTCTATGATTTACATAAATGGCCTTTAAATAGATCGCCAATTTCATATGCGGATACGTTTAGCAGCCTATTGCTTGCATAGATTTCAAATAGGACCTGCACAAAAAATCTATTTTCATTTTTAGTTTGGTATAGTACTTTTAGTTGTGCGCTTTGGTGCACCAGGTTTTATAGTGCTATTGTGTGTAGTTTGTTGACGGTAGAAATTATAAATTTGAATCATGGTGAGAGAACAGTGTGAAGGAGTAAAGGGAAATAAACCGAATGAAGTGAAGAAAAATAATTTAGGTAAGAGTTGCTGTTACTTTTTTTGGAACGTTTTTAACGCACTACGTCTTATTTTTGTAACAAATTTTGTAATCACTGTGCGTAATAAAAGATACTATTTTTAAAGTACTACTTACGTAAGTTCAGGCCTTTTTTTCCAACATCATAGTTATTTTTTTCAAAGTTTATAAAGCAATATTATTACACCACTCATATAGTCTACTGATACACTGTAGCAAAACGTGGGCAGGTGCACTATTCCCCCCCCCCCAACTATCAATATAAACCTCTATTGGAAACACTAGCATAGCCTTATATTGTGTCTCTAAGAACATGTAAGCCACTTGTCTCCTTATTCATCCTACTATTCCGTTCGTGCTAAACAACACTTCTTGATACCAACCACTAACACCATATAGGTCTATCACTGTATAACAAAATGATAAACAGCCCACTAACCTTTCATAATGTAAGTCTTTATGTTTCTCTACCTGCATAATTAATTATACCTTCGTCAATATACATTTACATGTCTATTTCTATACCTGTATCTACTTAAATATATTTCTACCTGTAGGCCTATGCATTTATCCTACATCTACACTATACACCAGAATGTTCTTCTACCTGTACACTTTGATGCTACATGTATGCTTTGATGTTACATGTATGCTTATATACCTAAATACTGTTTTTTACTTTTCTAGATCTATACTTTAATTCTGTATACTTCTCTACCTGTATAGGCCTACTTATATAAACTAGGACCAGTTAAACCATGTTTAGTTTACAATATTGGTAGTTCTCCCACAAATTATTTCCTATACTAAAGTCTGACATTGTCCCCCTTCAACCAGCTATGGACACCAACAATGCCATGGTCAAGAAACAGGTGGTCGAACTGCTCTCCGCCCTGTGCATGTACTCACAAGATGGCTACCAGTTGGCCATGGACGCTCTCGACACGTTTAAGGTAGGTCACATAGTTGGTGATGGTGTGGTCATATAGTCTGGTGATGATGTGGTCATATATAGTCAGTGATGATGTGGTCATATAGTCTGGTGATGATGTGGTCATATATAGTCAGTGATGATGTGGTCCTATAGTCTGGTGATGTGTGGTCACATATAGTCAGTGATGGTGTGGTCACATATAGTCGGTGATGATGTGGTCACATATAGTTGGTGATGGTGTGGTCACATATAGTCAATGATGGTGTGGTCACATAGTTGGTGATGGTGTGGTCACATATAATCGGTGATGGTGTGGTCACATATAGTCTGGTGATGGTGTGGTCACATATAGTCTGGTGATGGTGTGGTCACATAGTCAGTGATGGTGTAGTCACATATAGTCAATGATGGTGTGGTCACATATAGACTGGTGATGGTGTGGTCACATATAGTCGGTGATGGTGTGGTCACATATAGTCTGGTGATGGTGTGGTCACATATAGTCGGTGATGGTGTGGTCGGGTGGTAGAGCGCACGACTCCTAGACCGAAAGCCTCGAGTTCGGATCCCGTACTCGAGTTTGTAGGACGTCCCAGAGACAAGTCAGCGCAGATGGGTACCTGGTTTACATAAGGAAAAGTAATGGTACCTGGGCATAGAACTAGCAACTATCCCACTTTGCCGAGATCAGAGAACTAATGAACTCTACTTCATCTGCCCTACTGACCACCAGTTGACCACCAGGTCTGAAAGAGTAATAGACAGATATGTTTTATTTCATAATTAACTTCAGTTGACTTGAGCGAATTTACTCCATCAATTTACTTGTATAGTCATGATTGTCACTGGGTGGTAGAACGCCCATGAGTCCACCCAGCTATAATGGGTACCTGACTGAGGGAAAGTAAAGGCAGCTGGACATAGTGCTGACCACACGATCCTTTCGTATGCCGAGGTCAAGAAACAAATGAACTATACTTCATCTACCTCAGGATCACTTGGTCTAAAGAGGAATTTTTACTTTTTTACTTTCTCGTATATACGAAGTATAGAGAAAGTATTGTAATCGTGCACAAAAATCACTTGAAATTTTAACATCTTTCACCGTATTACACCTCAGTCCTTCATCACATCCGAGGTTTAGAGGACTTATTTTAATCGGGCAAAAATTATCAATCCAGATTTATCAAAACTAAGAGGTTTTATGCGTAATCCAGTCTGAAAAACTGGGCTTTGCAATTCTGTCCGTATGTCTGTGTGTCTGTGTGTGTGTGTGTGTCCGTGTGTAAACACGATAACTTGAGTACCGTTACAGCTAGGTTGATGAAATTTCATATATAAGTATTTTATCAAAATCGTAGATCCGTATCAACTTTTGAGCGATTTCCAATAACCGGAAGTGGTACTTTTTCTACTTTGAATTTTTCAAAAGCCTATAACTTGAGTACTATTTCAGATAGATAAATGAAATTCCACAAGTAAGTATAAGATCTAATTCTCTACCTTATGTTAAATTTTGAGTAGCTTCCGTTGACCGGAAGTAGTAATTTACGCTACTTCCGATTTCTCAAAAAACTAATGTAAATTTATTAAGTACTAATACTATTGCGCACTATTATACACACCTTTATTAGGCGTTCGCTTGGTGCGCAATTGTTTTTTACTGAGATTCTATTCTATTTTTAAAAGTTTAAGTATTTAAAATGGATTAAAAATCATAACTATATCCCCAGTTACCATCCCCTGTTGTTTTATATAAGAATATTCGAGAAAGTTTAGGGGAGATCACTACCGGTTTATTTTACTTTCTCGTATATACGAAGTATAGAGAAAGTCTTGTAATCGTGCAAAAAAAAAATCGAGATTTTTACAAATCTCGACGTTTTATACCTCACTGATACGGAAAAACATAATTTTGCAATCTTGTCCGTATGTCTGTGTGTGTGTGTGTGTGTGTGTGTGTGTGTGTGTGTCCGTGTGTAAACACGATAACTTGAGTACTGTTACAGCTAGGTTGATGAAATTTCATATATAAGTATTTTATCAAAATCGTAGATCCGTATCAACTTTTGAGCGATTTCCGATAACCGGAAGTGGTACTTTTTCTACTTTGAATTTTTCAAAAGCCTATAACTTGAGTACTATTTCAGATAGATAAATGAAATTTGATATGTATGTAGAAGATCTAATTCTCTACCTTCTGTCAAATTTTGAGTAATTTCCGTTTATCGGAAGTACTTATTTACGCTACTTCCGATTTCTCAAAAAACGCTTGTAAATTTATAAAGTACTAATAATATTGCGCACTATTATGCACATCTTTATTTAGCGTTCACTTGGTGTGCATTTCTTTTTATATTCTATTTTTAAAAATTTGAGTATTTAAAATGGATTAAAAATCATGTCTAGAAGTCTATATCCCGAGTTGCCATCCCCCGTAGTGTTATATTAGAATATTCGAGAAAGTTTAGGGGAGATCACTCCCGGTTTATAACTAAACAAAGTAATGTAATGTTGTTTTTGTTTTCTTGTAGATAATGAAACAAATGAGGTACAGATTCTCATTAATTTTAAACGAGCTGAAATCCTCCGAGTTGACACCCTACAGGACGTCCCTGATGGCTTTCATCAACTGTATCCTGTGTGCATGTGAGGACCTGCACGAGAGGAACAAGATCAGAAGCGAGTTTGTAGGTGAGTACACCTTCAGCACCTGCCTACAGGTTATGTAAATAAGGTATAACATAACCTATTTCTTAAACTGCAAGTAGCTAGATGCTAAGCAATGCTGGTGTACACTAATTAATGACGGGTGATAAGATGTATTAAGTGATTGAACATTGTCAGAGGCGTTGCTAGATGAGTGCGGGTAGGGCGGCCGCCCGGGGCGCCGACTTTAAGAGGGCGCCAAACTGGGTAGGATAAAAAGTAAATTAACTAATTTTGAGCTGTATTACTGCATTATGCACGGTCAAAGTTCAGGAGATTGCTCTCCTGGTTGATTCAACGGTTATTTACATCGATGTTTTGACATCATAATTAAAACGCATCCCCCCCACCACCCCTAAACCATTTTCCAAAGGGGGGGGGGGGGGCGGACAAAATTTGATAGGTCGTCCACGGTGCTTAATGGGTCGCTACGCCTCTGACCAGTGTATGACCAATGTATCTAAATCTCTAGTTACATGTAAATAATCTGATCTTGTTATAATGACCAGGTACTGTAAGAGGCACTATAAAAGTTAAATAACCAGTTAATACTGTGCAGCCAAATGACCAGTTAGTAGGAATGACCTGTTAATGTAAATGACCAGATTATAGTAATGATAAGTAACTAAATAATCACTACGTTAAGCTTAGCTAGGGGTTGTAATTTTGAGTTTAGAGAGTACTGAAGGCTAGGTGATGTGTTCGCACGATTTCTTTATTATAGATCTAGTTTTGTATAGGCTACCTACTCATAGACTAATCGCATACTATCAGCTCAAAGAAAACGATGCTTGTATTACATTTAATGCTATTATTTACCAAGTAACTTTCAATTGTGTAATGCCTGGAAAGCTAATTAGTTGTTAATTTCTGAAAACTGATGCTATTTTTAACAAATAACTTTGTCAGTACTTATAAAACCTGATATATTGAATTATATTGCCTTTCAGTTAAGTAACTTTATATTAGGGCCAACTCATAAAACTAGTTTATCATAAAACTAATTTATAAACATGGATTTCCCCCCCCCCCTTCCCCCACGTATGAACAGGTCTTAACCTGTTAGATGTCATCCCTGACCTGAGGAACTTCAATGACAGGGAACTTGACATCCAATGTGACGTGTTTGATGACTTCAAGAATGATGACGACGAGGAACTGGCTCTGTGCTTCACTGACAACGTCGACATCAACAACCATCAGGAGCTGTTTGATGTTATTTTTAGAAAGGTGGCCTTGACATTGCTCAAATTTGATAGATTTATGGTTTGATTTTTTTTTAGGGGAAAATTTAGTGTGTGATGAATTTTTAAGTAAGGGTTGGTTTAAAGTGCTAAAGGCTAAATTGGAAATTATATTCTATATGATTTATGGTTTGATTTTTTTAAGGGAAAAATTTAGTGTGTTTGATGAATTTTTTAGTAAGGGTTGGTTTAAAGCCCTAAAGGCTGAATTGGAAATTGTATTCTATATGATTTATAATTAAGTAGGGTTACAATAGAATTATCTTTAACATTTAACAAAGTTAAGGTTAGTTTTAAAGTTTTATATAAAATATTTTTCATTAGACCTAGCGATTCATTGGGTAGATGAAGTAGAGTTAATATTTTTCTTGGCCTCGGCATATGAAAGGATTGTGTGGTCAGCACTATGCCCAACCACCTGTACTTTCCCGTACGTAAGGCAGGAGCCCATCAGAGCTGGGTGAACTTAAAAGACAATCTACATTCACAAGTCCAAACTGAGATTCGAACTGGAGACCTTCAAGCAAGCAGCTCTACATTTTGACCACGCCATCCCATAAAGTTTTATATGCTAGAAAATAAATTGTAAATTATTTTTAAACAAATGCAATTGAGCTATCTATAACTTAAATTTGAGTAAGTTATTTAAATGGATTGGAATTGGTTGAAAATTAAAATCAAGTCAATCTCAATTCAGTTTCTCTGCTCTGTTCTTTTATTTAAACTTTTTTTGTCACTTCATTGAGCTGTATTGTTGATATAGTTTCCTATACTATTTTTATATGTTATTGACTTTATGACTATATGTATTATCACATACCTGTGCAGGTGTACAACACACCTTTATCAGACAAGTTCCTCACCATCCTGCAGACTCTGCTACAGATTGACCCAGACACAAAAGTCAGGTAAAAATTATTTTTTTTAAATTTCAGGTAACAATTATATCCACTGGTTATTTAGTTTCCATTTCTAATTATAAGTACATTTTTTGTTTCATTTCTGTTTTAAATTTAATTTACTTCTACACATATTTGTTTGGCAAAATATTTTTTAATCATGCTAATATTTTTTTAATTTGATATTTATTTCCATAGAGTTTTATTTAATCTCTTGAAAAAATTAAAAGATCTCTTTTGAAGTTTTCAAAATTAATATTTTAAGTATTTTAATTAACTTGAAGTGACAAATACTAAAAATATTTCCAAAAAAAAAAATAATTCTTTATAAATTCAAATAGATTTTTCAATATTCTAAGATTAATTGTAGTTAAATTTTTCCTGTCAAGTGATATCCAGTGGGACCTGATGGAGCATGCTGCCCAGACAGCCGTTGTCATAGACACAGAGAAGATTGACAAGTACGCGGACACGCCCTCTCTAGACAAGCTCCTCCTCAGCCGACTCAAAAACTCGACACAGAATTCAACCAATGGCAGCTCGGGGCCAAAGGTCAACTTGACCAGCTCATCTGTACAGACCGACCTGGACATGTCCTCGTTGGAAAAAACTTTAAATGGTGCTCTTAATCACGTGCTTTCTGGGGAGAGGTCGGCCAGTGAACTTTCTGGTAGCCAACCGCCTCCACCCCCACCTCTACCTTCGTCTCTGAATGGTGAATTGACTTTAAATACCAACAGTGCTTTCAATACTCAATTGCCTTCTTCGTCTGTGATAAATGGGGCAGCGCCCCCACCTCCACCTCCTCCTCCCCCACTGCCTGGAATGAGTGGCGCTCCTCCACCACCCCCACCCCCTCCTCCTTTACCTGGATTCACATCAGGACCTCCACCCCCACCCCCTCCTCCTCCGCTCCCTGGCTTGAACATGCCACCCCCTCCACCGCCATTACCAGGTATGGGTGGACCGCCTCCTCCACCGCCTCCACCAGGGGCTGGCGGCCCGCCCCCACCACCTGGAATGATTGCGAGCATGACCAGCGCCCCACTGTGGTCACCCCCACCTACAACCTTCAGGCCTATACCAACACCAAAACCTAAAGCTAAAATGAAAACCTTCAACTGGTCCAAAATCCCTGCCCAGAACATGAGTGGTGAGTAGATTATATCTGATAATCTCTTAAGTAAATAAAAGTAGATTTTTCATCAAAATAGATAATAATAGAATCAAAATTCCATATTCTAAGTTGTAATATTTCATTTTCTTCTTCATCTTTGCCGTCTATACTCTCAGTGGAGCATAAGCCATTTACAACATCATTCAATGCAGTGGCGTAGCGAGGTCGGGTGTCACCCGGTGCGGCACTTAATGGTGTCACCCCCCCCCCCCCCCCAGAGGCATAGAGACCCTTCCCAGGGACAAATTTTCAAATTTTCGATAGTTTTCGATTTGCACCCCCCCCCCTCAAACTTTCGATTTGCACCCCCCCTCGAGTTTTTGTCTATATATTTTGCTATTTTTTGCCTTGGTGTCACCCCCCTAAATGGTGTCACCCGGTGCGGTCCGCACCCCCCGCCCCCCCCCCCTCGCTACGCCCCTGATTCAATGTCTTTTTATCCTTTGCTATTTATTTACCAACTCTTCCCCATAAGTTTGATGGTTTTTTTTTTGTTTATCTGTGCTAAATGTGTTTGTAAAAGTAAAGTTTCTCTTTCAAACCTGACGGTCTATGAGGCAAGTGAAGTAGATTTCACTTGTTTCTGTGACCTCAGCATATGAAGAGATATTGTGGTCAGCACTATGCCCAGCCGCCTTTACTTTCCCTAACGTGAGTTAGGTACCCATCAGAGTTGGGTGGACTCAGGGATGGTCTACAGACTTGAACCCGTATTCAAACTCGAGACTTACGAGTTAGCAGTCCAGCTCTCTACCGCTAGACCACTCCATCCCTTAAATGTGTTTGGGTCACCCCCTTTTTCTTGATCTTTGTGGGTTCCATGTCTGGAAATACTAGTTTCCAGTTTCTTCAATGTAATTTATTTTCATTATTTTCTCATTTATCCTGTGATTTCCCATACTGTTCTGTAAAGGAGCTTAATCAAACCTCTTTATATTCAACATTCACACAATTTCTTTGAGGTTTTTTAAATACTTTTCATTTTCTCCACTGTTTCATCTTTCTGCTCAATGTTCTGTAGGCCTATATTCTTTTTAAAAAATAGTTCCAGGTTATTAAAGTGTAGTCTCTTTTTACATTTAATTAGTATTATTGTATACTAAAATTGAGCTTTTGGCAACCAGCCAGGTTGAATAATTATTAAATAGTTCCAGTTTTTACCTTGACTGGGTATTTACCATTGAGTTCTTTCTGATGTTTCAGATATTCAAGTTGAATTTAAAGTTTTTGTTTCTTAAAATAATAGGCATTGAAACTAAATGGTTAAAAACCTCCCTATGGATACAATTTTAAATCTTGGCATGACAAGTATTTGAACCTAGATCCATCTGTTGGGTCATCTGTATCATGTCTATAGAGACATCTGGTCTACTTCACCTGCCCCATGCATAAATTGGTCCCTACATCTGATCTACTTCACCTGCCCCATGCATCATTCGGTCCATACATCTGATCTACTTCACCTGCCCCATGCATCATTTAGTCCCTACATCTGATCTACTTCACCTGCCCCATGCATAAATTGGTCCCCACATCTGATCTACTTCACTGCCCCACACATCAGTTGATCCCATCAGTTCTCTCTGTTAACCTCTAGCTGAAGACAACATCTGGAAAGAAGTTCTGGAAATGGACGACAAGGTGGAGGTGCACTACGACAAGATAGAGCAACTCTTCTGCCAGAACACTGTGGAGCCTAAAGTGGAGGAACCAACCAAAGCCAAAACACCAACAGAGGTCAGTTCCCAATCAGCACACCCGTATTGGCCCAATATTGGCTTAACATTGGTTACCATTATTTTAGCTATGCCTTGGCCCAATGTTAGGCAAACATTGATAGTGGAACCTAGTTATGTTTAGGGTTATCTGGTAATTAGGATATGAAAATTAATACAATATAACTTGATTCAAAATAAAGTTAAAATTATCAATTAAAAATTTCAAAAAATAAACTTACTAAAGGAAGTCAGTATGTTCAAATCTTTAGCCTTTATCAAAATACTTATTAGTCACAATTTGGTACACATTTTAAAAAAATATCTGCCGCATGTTAGTTAGCTTCAGTAGACAGCACTCAAATTATATTACCAAATTTTAAGTTCCGATATAAAAGCATCTTGAATTGCTGTTTCTTAGTTTTATTTTTTGTAACATATTGCAAACAAATGGGACAATGTAGTCATATGGTAGCGCATACAACTGCTATCCCAAAATTCTTAAGGTTGGATCCTGGTCTCCGTCTGTAGAACATCCCTGTCCTGATGGGTACCTGACTTAGGTTAGGCAGAGGCGTGGTGAACCTTCCCGGCGCCCGGTGACAATCTTTCAATTTGGCATCCCCCCCCCCCCCCATATATTTTAAAAAATTTATAATACATAACTGCAACTAAAATGAGCTTTTAATTTTTTTTCCCAACCCATTTTGGTGCCCCCTAAGTTCGGCGCCTGGGGACATATGCACCCCCATCGCTATGCCTGTGAGGTTAGGGAATGTAAGGGCAGATGGACATAGTGCTGACCACACCATCCCTTCATAAGCTCAGGTCACAGAAAAGTACTAAACTTTTCATTACATCTGCAAACATATTAGGACTTTGAACTCGGTTACCCAAAATGTTGTGTATAGCAGCGTAGTTTACCTAAAGAATGAAATTTTTATTGTTTTCAAACAATCCTAGGTGAACCTACTGGACATGAAGCGCAGCATGAATGCCAACATTTTCCTCAAGCAGTTTAAAATGTCACATGAGGAAATTGTTCAGATGATTAAAGATGGCGACTCCTCAAAGATTGGATCTGAAAGATTAAGAGGGTTACAGAAAATCCTACCTGACAAGGATGAGGTATGTATATCACTTCTCCACATAGAAAACTCTAACAGTAAGCTTAGATTATTTAATGCTTTTCTATTAGAAATCTTTAAAAAGGTGTATTTCATTTTTTATTTAATCCAATTATTATAAATTAAATTTTATCTTTTTCATACAATTAGAGAGCAGTATTAAATAAAATATTTGCTTATCTATTCAAAAGGTATTTGAAAGTTAAATAAAAAAATAAAAAAAAAACAATAAAAATGTTTCACTTTTTTTTTCAGGTTATGATGATTCAAAGCTATGATGGGGATATCAGCAAATTGGGAAATGCTGAAAAGTTTTTCTTACAACTTTCAAAGTTGTCCGGCTACAAAATTAGGGTACATGTTTATTTGTTTTGTGTTCTTCAATTCCACTTTTTTAATGAGAATCATTTTTAAATATTTAATTCTTATCTATCAGAAAAATAGCCTACAAACTACAAATTTTAGAGCTACCTCTAATGTTAGGGTAACTTAAGTAATAATAATAATTAATTAATTATATATTGAATACATGTAATTTAAATACAATCTTAAAGCTAATAAAAATGTTCGGTTTCAGTTTTATGTAAAAATTCATTTTTAAATCTATTTATGTTGTAGTTGTCAAGTTTTGATATTTTGTTTTAAAAAACATGCAATTTTCCCTTTTTCCTTTTGTTAAAATATCAATGAACCTAAAACTGATTTGTTAATGTTTATATTTCTGTGTGCAGGTAGAAGGGATGTTACTCAAGGATGATTTCCGTGTAGCCATGGATGCCCTGATGCCCAATGTAGAGGTGATGATATCAACATGCAACAAGATCATGGACAACACCAGTCTCAAGGGATTTCTCAGATATGTTCTTCATGCTGGAAACTTTATCAATGCTGTAAGCCAACTAGCTTTTCTTGATTATGTTTGAGTCTGTTTAAAGCTGATGCTATCAAAATAACTCTTAACCCTTATATACATCACATTGCTGAGCAGCAATGTTGTTAAAAAATTATTATTTTAATTAAATAAAACAAAATGCCTAGTGTTATAATCATACAACATTTACTAGCTTTAGTTAAAACTTTATTCACAAACATTTTTTTGGTGGTACATACTAGTATAAAAAAATCTAGTGAAGTTATTTGTGTTGGAGAAAAGTAGAGGAGAAATGTTTTAAATACTGGAAGCTTTGGAGAATTTTTAGATATATGTTTGAATCTATTTTTTAGCTGATAAGAAAATAAATCTTAACCCATTCCATTCAAGTTACACATATTGCATAGAGTTGTGGTAAAGTTAATCCTTTGTGCTTTTAGAATATTTTTCAAAGCTTTTGTCATGCTGTTATTGAGTAGTGAAAGAAAGGCATTGTTTGAATTTTTAACTATCTTTAATTTCTTAAATGAATTGATCATGAGACATGTGTTGTTAGTGCTTCTGTGATTACAGACAGGACAATATTGTAACATAAACATTTGTTAATAAAGATGTTAAGGTTGAGGCTAAGGTTAAGGTTAAGTATAGGAGTAAGAAAAGAGGTGTAGTAAGTGGATGGGTTAATGCTAGGACTAGAGCCAGCTATGAACAGTTTTAAAATGAAGTTCAGGTTATGGTTAGTTGCCAGGTTTACAGCAGCAATGTTAGCCAAAATAAAATTCTTAGATATAGCCTTGTTAAAAAACCCAACTTAAACCACCACCACAGGGAGGCTATGCAGGCAACGCCCTGGGCTTTAAGATAGCCTCACTGAACAAGCTGATGGACACACGAGCCAACAAGCCAAGGGTCACACTGCTGCACTACCTGGTGGAGGAGGCGGCCAAAGAGCAGGGCGAGATCCTCAAATTTGCTGATGAGTTGTTGCCCACATTAACTGAATCCAGCAGGTTAGTCTCAGAAATTTAGCTAAAATTCTTCATTATTGAAATAATTGGGTCATCTTTTTTTTAAAAAAACTACTGCGAAATTAATTTATATTACAAAATCTCCCCATCATAATCAGTCTATAAAAAAATATTTGTTTATTCGGATCTATGTCAGATAGATGTAGTTCAATTTAAGTATAAAGAAAGAAAAATTAACTTTTAATTTTTTTTTTCTATTGATAATAATTACATTTATTAGATACATTTTAAGAGATAGCATATGAACACCTGTTAAGACATTGTTAAAATATCCTAAGTTGACCAGAAAAAAAAATTGTTTTAAAATAATGCTTCTTTAAAAAACTCAAGAAGTAATTTATAAATCCATTTAAAAATCTAGTTTTTTTTTTATATTTAAAATTATTTCTTAAAGCAAAATCTCAATATTATTGCATGTTGTATTTTAACTGCAGATTAACAGTAGATAACTTGAACTCAGAGACCAAACAGCTAGAGGGTCATCTCAAACAGCTCAAGGACCAGATCTCCAAAAGTGACAATGATATACAAGAATACTTTGCAGGGTTTTTAAAAGTATGAAAGCATTAAACTCTTATTTGTTTGTTACGATACTACACATTTAGCCAGTTGGGAGTAAATACAACTGATGCTACTCTAATAATGTTACTTTTTAGTCTCCTAATCTAACCCTAAACTTTAAATGGAATTGAAACTGCAACGTTAACCAGAACTTGAACTGGAACTGGAAATTTAAATATTAAAAATTACTTTAAAAATTACTTTAACCGGAGCCAGAATTTTATTATGACATAATACATTTTTTTTGCTGTAGTAAATAGTTATTAGCTGCTATTTTTGTTTCCTTACTAAAAAAATAAAAACATTAATTATTTATTTTTTCAACTACAGGAAGCAGAAAATGAAGTAAACACAGTCCAAAGCAAGCTAAACAATATCAAAGAGCTAACAGCCAAGCTGGCAAATCACTTCTGTGAGCCTGACAAAGGATTTAAGCTTGAGGAGTGCTTGAACAGTTTCAACACATTTTGCCAAAAAGTTAAACAGTGTCAGAAAGTGAGAGCTTTTTTATGATTTTAAACCATGTTTTTGTAAAATGACGTATTCACCCTACCTTTATGTTATCTATGTTTATATGCAATGGTTTTCAGGTTCAAGTCTATTTGATAACACATACATTCCCACTTAGTTTAGGGATAATAAACAATACATTTTAAAGTACAATAATTCATAAGCACTACCTGTACTTAAATTTTGTTATATAACTTTTTAAACTCATTTCAGTTAATGTTTTAGAAATATAACATTATTCAACATTTTGCATTTTAGGGATTTATATCTTTTTATAATTATATATATATATATATATATATATATATATATATATATATATATATATATATATATATATATATATATATATATATATATATATTACACTTCTTTCAGCAAAGTTAAATTTTAATGAAAATTAGTTTTTAACTTCTAAAATTTATAAAACTGTGTACATTATTTAGAGTGTAAATGACCTAATACATTTTTTCTTGAAAATGGACCCTACTTTTATCATGAATCAAATTTTAAAAACATGATTAATATAAAACCAAACAAAATTATTTTATTTATTATAGGATAATGAGCAACGTAAAATTCAAGAAGAAAGAGCTGAAAAAAGAAGACAAGAAAATGAAGCAATGAAAGCTAATAGAGGTAATATTTGGTGCTAAATTTTTGTTTTTGTTCAAGTTTGGGTTGACGTATTTTAATTTGGCTGTAGAGAGTTCAAAGTGTGATACAACAGTGGGAACCATTACTGCATGTGGTTGTTTGATGTATATTTTGGTTTGAAATTTTTTTTTTTCAAATATTTAAAATTTTGTTTCAGAGAATAAAATTGACTTTTTAAGTCTTCACTTGAAATTATTTTGAAAAAAAAATGAACCCCTATATTAATAATAAGTCAAGAAAAATTGCATATTATATTTAAAATTATAGTTTTAAAATTCTTGAATATAATGTACAGTTACTAGCAATGTTTTTAGCCAAATTGTTTTATAAAAATGACTTGATTTATAGCCTCTGCAGCCTCCCCCTCAAGCAAGGCACCACCAACCCAAAACTTAGGCCTCAGAAGATTCAGTATGCTATAGTTTTTAACATCTGCACATAAGAGCTCTTCCAAGATTCCCACCCTTCTCTATAGCTCATCTCTTGCTTAACCTTTGAACTGTGAATCTTTCAGTGCAATGTCATATAACCATGTATGGTGTAGCATAATGTTGCATGAGTCGGCATGACCTGTTATACCATTTCTGAAAAGCTCTAGGACATTCTGAATTAATTTTGTGTAGGCTATTTGGTAGTATATTGTGATAGGTATATTTAACCTAATATGGTGAAGGTGGCCTTATAAATGAACAAGGGGTAAATAATAATTAATCTCAAAAGAAAATTATTGTGTAAACTAAAATATTTATATAACTGAGTGAAGAATAAAAAGTGTCCAGTGAAAATAGTCTCTGCAGGCGAACTCTTCTATCAATAATAATTCTGTTATTACTTGCAGCCGGTATCCTTTAGGCTATATGTAGTTTCTCACTTGGATGAGGGATATCTTTAAGTAGAGAGTATTTCTGCATTCTTTTGCATGCTGGATCTTAGTAAAATCTTGTATAGAAATGTTCAGTAGAAAAAGTAGCTTGAGTATAAACTAGATGGGTTTAGCTTTCTATTAATGTTGCTCAAAGGAAATTTTAATTCACAAAATAAAATATCATTTTTGGACCTAAACATTTAAATTATGAATAAAACAATTTTCTTCAGTTTCTTGGAATAAAATAATGTCCAATTAAGAAGCTTATAAATTGGAATTAAAGTAAAATTGAAGATGGCTTAGCTATGTATTATTCATTACAAAAAGAAACCAAATTAAATACATTTGAAAACATATTGTTTAATTGTATGTTAAAGTTCAATTTTCAGAATTTCTATCCATCAAGCCAATGATTATTAAAAAATTATCAATTTTTTATAAATTTTTTGCATTATTAAAATATATAGTATTATGATTTCAGGCAGCAAAGAGCCAAAAAGTCCAACAGAGGATGATGGGAACATCATAGACAATCTCCTGAAGGACATCAGGAAAGGCTTCAAGCTCAGGAAGACCACGTCCATCAAGAGAACTGACAGCCAGAAGCCAACACTCAAGCCAGTTCCAGACTCTGCTTTACCCGACACAGCAGTGGTCAACGGTGAGGTCAAGGTTGTGGAGAAGGAGGTTGTGGATGGCAATGCCAACATGACTCTGGCCCCGGTGGTTAATGGGGTAGACAATGACACAACCTGCTGAGGCCAGTGGGTGCAGTCTTGTGTATGGCAGCTTATATTTATTATACTTATGATGATCATAAATTAAATAAAAAGGTGGTCTGGAAAAGTAAATTGAATTTGTAAAAAAAAAAAAAAAAAAAAAAAATTCTGTGCACCAGAGTGACAAATTAAAAGAAATCAAAGTAATAGTAATTCTTAAAATGTTAAGTTTTTTTTTAACTTTGCAGATGTAAGATTTATCTGTGTCTTGACAGGGTTTTGAAAGCTAGTGCTAGCTATTTTAGTTTTCTATATTACAAGTTACTCATCATAACTAGGTTGGGTCAGGGCCATCCAACAGATTCAGGTCAGAAAATTCTGAACTCATGTCTTTCAAGTAAACACTAGTTGAACTTGATTACAGTCCCTTTTAAATGTGAAAAACAAATTGTTATTTTATAACATTGAATTATAATTTTATTAGTCACGTGTCTTTTATGTATATTCATTTGTAAAAGTCTACTGTTGGGGGTATTAAAAAAAATAATAATTTTGGTTTCTTTTTTTTTGTAATAGTAATTTTTATTTCCCCATTTCTGAATTTTACTTAGGCTTCTGTTAATATTGGGAGAGAAATGTTTGTGGTTTTTTAATCATTGTTTTAAATTTTAAATCATTTGAAAAAGTATCTAAAAATTGATTCCATAAAAATAAACTAATTAAACAATTCTGTTTATTTCCCCCTCCATGATTAATTTTAAAACTGCCAGCATCTGCAATATTATGACAACAAATGTTGAAAACTTAATTAACTTGTAATTTAATATAACTCTTCATGTATGTATATAATTTATCAAACATCAAATGTATTTCTCTGTTAAGTGATACAACTGTTTTTTTTTTTACATTTAGTTGGTGTGAAAAAATATTTTTTATTAAAAGTCTGCTAATTAGAATAATGTTATCCATGTCAGTGTTTTTGAATACAAGTGGGTTAAAAGATCAAAATTGAATATGTTGCATCAAACTGCATCAATTCAATTTTAAAAATAAGTACCCAGTTTTTTGACTAACTCACCATTGCTTAAGAATAATGTTGTACGGTTTTTTAAGTGAGTAAATAATTTTTAAAAATATATTAATGATAGTAGAATTTTAATATATATTTCTAAATAATGAGTTTTGAGACTTGTTAATATCTTGTTGTTTCTGTTTTGGTTTTGATTTATATTGACCAATTATTTTTACTTTCAGTTGTTCTAGTCTTTTAAAGTTTTTTAATTTTAAAGTACATTTGTAAATATTCCTTTCCACTTTCAATATTTACAATTTTACCATTCCATTTTAGAATGTTATAAAAAAAAAAAAAAATAAATTCCCAAAAACAAATTGAATAATGTGTGAAATGCAGAAATATATTTTTCAAATAACTCATTTAGGCCTAATATATTTCATTATCACAACTGGCTATATTTTGGTATCTTTCATTTTATATTTATCTTTTACAATTTAAATAACTAAAAAATGTTAATTGATTAAACTAAAAATATTAGTGAACTAATTATATATGCATGACAGTAAAATGTACACATTCCTGTTCCTGTTAGTTTTAAAATCTGTCTTATCTTTATCAAGATTTTATAAATTTACAACAAAATTTTTACCATTTGGGATCAATTTCTTTTGAAACTGCTCACTTTCATGTCTATGTATGACTGAACTCAAAACGCACATTACTTGACACCACATTTCCTGGTGCTTTGTGTTGTATTGTTTTGTTTTACATGGTTGAAACTTGTTCACTACAAGATTATATTTAAAAAAAACTGTAGTGTGAGCTTGTGAAATTTGTGTAGGCCTATTTGTTTGTTTTTTTAATTGATTTTTACTTATTTATTTTATTTTATACATTAATACAAAGTCCAAACCTGTTTTTTTTTCAATTCGGTTTAATTATTGTTTTTATACATTCATCAAAATTTTTAAAGTCCAAATCTGTTTTTTAGCTATTGTAATACAAAATATACTCTAACCTTAATCAAATGTAGGTGTTTGTTTTTAAATTAAAGTTGTTGTTTTTTTGTACATTCATCAAAATTTTAAAAGTCCAAATCTGCTTTTAGCTATTGAAATACAAAATATTCTAACTATAATCAGTTAAAAACTTTTCATTACGTTGAATACAGGTATTTAAACAAATTAACTTTTTATTTATACATTGGAATAGTTTTACTCTAAAATTGTTTCCTTTTAAAAAGTAACCCATAAAAATTATCATTTCAATCATTGATGTATAAATAATTTTATATCATGGTGTTATGTATAGGCTAACTTATTTATGTACATATAATTGATATTGGCTCTATATAAATACCATAAGTACCGTATGACATAAAGACATGTCTTTTGTATAGTGTAGCTAATCATATTCATGTCAAAACTGTTTCTCTCTGATGAGCAGGTCAAAAACTTAACAACTGCTTTGAATCAACATGCGAATATAAACAGAAAATATAATTTTTATTTGAATAAAATAACTTTCTGTAAATAAAGTTTACATAATATACAAAAAAAAAATGTCTGGTGTTAACCTTTGTTTTGTAATGTTGTAGAAAAGTTTTTCTTTTTTAAAAGTCTGAACAGTGTTTTAATTGGAGAGTTCCCTTTTTTTAGAGTTCTTTCCCTTGATATGTAAATTGAAATAAGGCTTACCCACATTGCACTGAGGTACTATATTATAAGCATTGTTCTCCAAATTTGTTAGCCGCATTTAAAAAAAATAATATGGATAGACTAACATTGTAACGTTGTCAAAAAGATGTGAATAGAGACAGATTTAGTATTTAGACCTGGTCTGTGGCGTAGGTACGATTTTGTCTTGGGAGAATTTTTAACTTCACCCCCATATATATATGGCTCGTCAGCTGGGGACAGCAACCTATTTAGAGTACAGTGGCGTAGCGAGGTCGGGTGTCACCCGGTGCGGCACTTAATGGTGTCACCCCCAGAGGCGTAGCGACCCTTCCCGGGGACAAACTTTCAAATTTTCGATTTTTTGCACCCCCCTCAAACTTTCGATTTTCACCCCCCCCCCCCCTGAAGTGTTTCTCTATATATTTTGCTTTTTTTTTGCCCCCGAAATGGTGTCACCCGGTGCGGTCCGCACCCCCCGCCCTCACCCCTCGCTACGCCTCTGTTAGGGTGAGAAAACTCCGAAAAATCAAACAGGAGTGGAGATCCATAGGCGATAGGATTACCAACTCTGGTTTCCTTTTCAGCAGTTCCTACGACACTGCTGATTCAATTCCAAGCTGTTTAAGTCCATTGGATTCATCAACTGTATGGGGAGAGGGCGGTCTGATACATGGGCAACATCTGGCTCTGCTTAACTTATAAGGAGTCCAGGCTTTATGCTTGGATTTCCAACACGCAATCTTTCAATATATATATATATATATATATATATATATATATATATATATATATATATATATATATATATATATATATATATATATATATATATATATATATACATACATACATACATACATATATATATATATATATATATATATATATATATATATATATATATATATATATATATATATATATATATATACATATATATACATATATATACATATACATATATATACATATATATATATACATATACATATACATATATATATATATATATATATATATATATATATATATATATATATATATATATATATATATATATATATATATATATTTCATAAAGTTTTTAGAGGGTAAATTGTTTAAATGACATGCAAAATAATGAAATTGTAGACACGTAAAAAACATTCTCGTGACTCATTTCTTTTGGTGTGGAGAATATGACCATTACTCAACTCCCGTTGACCAATCAAATGTTCTCACGCAACTCAACTGTCTGGTTCGTGAGACAAATGTCACGTTAGTAGAACCTCTTGGGCGTGACGAAAGTGTCACGATACTCAAATCTTAGGGGTGTGACGAATGTGTCACGTTACACAAAACTTTCATATGGGCGTGACTACGTTGTCACACCAAACGTAACAAAACCTGCCACAAAACGTGATCCTTACAATTAACTTGTCAAGATATTCGAAAATCGAGCCAAAATCTACTTGCTGAGTCGGTCTCCAGTTTCTCAACACTCAAGTAAAAATACTTGGTCCTACTTGTGCCCAGCGGTAAGTAAAATCTCGCTGAAAGTAAATATACATCAATTTCGTTGACATCTCTCTGTACCTTATTCCATTGTACATAAACTTTGCTGTTTAACGAATAACAAAGAATGACAATAAAATAGTAGAGGTTTAAAAAAAAAAAATCAACGATTTTGGAGTTTTCCCAAATTTGTGGTTTATTTTTAGACATTACAGACTGAGCACTAATGGGTGACTCACGGGGTTAAATGAACGTGCACCACCTCTGCGATTACAGTGAGTCACGCTGCAAGTGTGTGAGGTTGCATGCGCAGTTAAAAATAGAAATTTAGCGACGAGCACATCGGTGGTTCTCAAGAAAGTGAGAGTCGCAGACACTTTTTTTTTATAAGGATAATGGATAACGTTATATTTTCTTTTTATTAATTTTTGTGTTTTTAAAAAGGGTTAAGGGATAACATTATATTTGCTTTTGATTAAATTTTGTGTTTTGATAAGGATAATGGATAAAGTTATATTTGCTATTTATTTATTTATTTGGGGGGGGGGGGATGAATTCAAAACAAAAAGTGTTCTTTAAAAGAAGAGATCGGTGTACATAAATACCTAGGTGATATTGTATATTTAAAAAAAGGAAAGATGCATAGATTTCTCTTTAGACCTAGCGATCCATCGGGAGGGTGAAGTAGAGTTAATCTGTTTCTTGACCTCGACGTATGTAGCGATGGTGTTGTCAGCCCTATGCCAAGTCACCTTTGATTTCCTCAACGTAAATCAGGTACTCATCAGAGCCGACAGTTATGCTGTTAGCATGGGTGTTTCTATCTGGAATCTTTTCAACGTTCAAATACTTAATTTGTTTGAAATGACAATACAATTTTAGTACTTTTAATATAAGTAAATATTATTAACATTTAACTACAATATATTCTGTTTTATATTAGTTTTCCTGTGGACACGTTTTTTTTTGTCCAGACGTTTTTGATCCCAATTCTACAAAAGTTAAGAACCATTTGTCTAGTCGTAGTTAACGATAGTGACGTAGCTCAAGGGGAGATCACCCTTAACATCTCGATAACAACTGATAACTTCATAATTAGTTCAAGCTGGTAATTACATTCTCCCCCTCAACATGTACTGACCTCTGATAATAAGGTCAACAGCTTTGTAAATTATTTTCTATTTTTAAAACGACCATCTCACATTACTTTAATAACACTGAAAATACTGCTACTGACCAAGAAGGAAATCGTCAGTGATAATTCATAAAATGTGATCTAGATCCAGAGGCGT